CGGCCAGCTAAACTGTTCCTTGAAGTACTCGGCCCATCGGTCAAGCCTTTGCTGTTTGTTATGGATGGGTTCTGTATTCCTATTGCAAATCGTTTCACTGACCTGAGTTCGCCGTCCACCGGTGTCACGAATAAGTTTGAACAGTCTTTGACTGTTACCTGAAGCAGCTGCCACTTCCATTTCTTCGGCTACCTTGACCCACCAATTTTCGCGATCCTTCTTAAGGCTTCGCGTAACTTGTCTTTGCAGCTTTCTCCGCATCTTATCTCCTTACGGTTCGAAAGCTGACGCTTTTGCTCCATTATACTCAACGACTCTTGCGAAATCCAGTGTCTCTGATGGACAACGGATCTAGGATTACAGGCGAAACCTGCTGCAACGTGCATCGCTTGTTTGATATGAGCCCAATGCTCATCTACATTACTGTTCTCCGTGGATCCTAGCTCATGTGCTAACTTCTGCTCATAACGGGTGCAAACGTCTGGATCACACAAACATTGCACGGCTAATCGGGTTTGCGGTTTGCGACGATGGCCATGGAGCTGGAGAGATAATCGCATTAAAACTAAGGCATGGTCCGACTCTACGTACGTGGACCAGTAAGATCTACAATTCTGAACAGAACTGCGCCATCGGTAGCTTACGGCGATATGGTCAATTTGACTCAAAGTACCTGTAGAGTTAGAGCGCCATGTCACTGTGCAACGCGAGCTGTGTGGGAAATTTGTGCTAGACAAGAACAATCGATTGTCTACACAAAATTGGAGAAGCCTATCCCCGTTATCTGTGCGCTCAGCGGGTAAAGCACAACGCCCACCTAAACAGGCTTCTGACACACTGAGTCTGCCAACTTGTGCATTGAAGTCACCAGCTAGCACTACAATGTCGGAAACTTACTGCCGCGAACGAGAGTGGCGAGTGCATCATAGAACTCATCTTTCTGCAAGTCTGAGCTGCAGTTCGTTGGGGCGTACGCCGAGATCACGAACAAATTGCGTTTAACACAACTATCCTTTCGAACGCCAACTGACCCTTGGAGTCTCACAGCACATAAACGACTGTTAACAGGGATCCAGTCTAATAGGGCAGCCTCAGCCTTGTCAGTCAAGACAATCCCTACGCCACGTTGACCCACCGCTCTAGCTGCTTCGTCTCCTGAGGTGTGCAGAATATACCTCGATGAGATACCAGGAGCAGTTAGCTGAATTACACTGCTCGAATCCTGGATATGCGTTTCGCTTAAGCAGCAAACATCAATCTTCAGAGAGTTCATTGTGAGGGCTAGGCACGCCTGCTGACCGGCCTGCATGAGTGTACGCACGTTGAAGGAGCCGAGATTCAGAGGCTGACGGGGCTTGAGAAAATGTGATTTACCAGACAGAGGATTATTCCCGACACTGTTTGACAGTGAATCGTTGCGAGTATCGACCGTGTTATCAGTGGGAGCATTATGGGTGGATAGATGGGGCAAAGAGAGATGACAAAGGTTGAATAAAAGAGAGTTAGTTGAATCACACTGCTCGAGTCTTGGACACGCATTTCACCGACACAACAGACATCAATTGTCAGGGTGTCAGCTGTGAGCCCCAGGCACGTCTGTTGACTTGTGTGAGTGGGTGTACACACGTTAGGCGAGTCGGGATTTAGAGGCTAACGAGGCTTGAGGAAATGAGTTACAAAATAAAGGACTATTTGCGAGACTACTCGACGATGAACCGTTGCGAGTATCGGGCGCATTATCAGTGGAAGCAATATGAGTAGGAATTCGAGTCAGAGAGAGCTGGTTGGGGACAGGAGATAATGGTTTAGTGAAACAGAGGGAGCTCTGAGCAATAGTTCATTTATCACTACCCACCCCGCTTGTTGCAAGGGTCCAGATTATCCTGCGTGATGACTCATGCAGTAGGGAATTCTTTGTGTTCGTGCAGGTTATGGGAGATGTTTGACGGGTACTGCGAGGCTATCCAGCCGCCAAGCACGAAAACGATTAGGGTTCTCAATCAAAGCCTTTAGTTCTAACGAGAACCTGTTTTCACGGCAGCGGGATAATTGAGTGGAAGCGCAAAACAGCAACGTTAATCCAAATGAGTTAATTGTGGCCAATTGTATGATCAATTTGACTTTTCTCGAAAGCTCGTCGGGTAAGTAGAACACGACAAAGAACCATGGTCTCATTAAGTGGTGGGCCACATTTGCCACGTCAGTGCTGTCAGCAGACTTGTGACGTTTTACGGTGGAGAAAGCTAGCCAAGCAAAAATCTCACCACATCCTCGAGCACTGCCACAACCCCATATTTGGTGAACCCACCTTATTCACGGTTAATCGCGGGAGCGGACATTCACTTATCCGTGATCCGGCGACGCGCCTGTCAGATGATATAAGACAACAATAAGCCGAACAACCCCTGCTTTAGAATCATCGAATCGTCAGTAGACCAAGCTATTTAAAATGTGAAAAGTACGCTCACAACTGCCAGTTTATCACCAAAAGACCATCATATACGTCCACAGGCCAAAATATAAAAACAAAGACTCAACATCAGAGAAGCGAACGAGAAATACGATCGATTGACAAGGTATAACATCACAGGCCTACAGTTTCCAAATCACCGTCATCTAATGTATTTGTGAACCCCAGTTTATCGGTACCTGATCAGACTTATAGCTACGCCCAAGCAGCCATCACAAATTTAAGTTATATATTTGTTACCATCATTTGGATAACCCCAGTGATAACAGAGAAAGGCCGAAGACAATTAACCAGGTTGTGGTGACTTCAAAGAGAACTAGATTCTCGTTTTCTGGGTTCCGCCGTCCCATTCACTTAGATGTTCGAAGACACCTCCATCCTATATGGGATACAGTAAGATCATACAACCAGAGTAAATGAGACCTTTCGTCTCGTCTGCACTGTCCCTAGTGCAAACTTACTGGTTGTTGAACCCGAGCTGAACATTCATTAGCTAGCGAAATTCTTTCGCTGCTGAGATTAATAAATTGTTGAAGCTCAGGTAAAGACTAGAAGAAGCTAAATTCCTAAGACTCGTCTTCACTCCGGAAGACAGGTAAAACAAGATACTCTGTTTAGTTCGGTAGCAGTAATACTTACAGTTAAATAAGGTGCCTAGGCACTAAGTTCGAAATGGGCAAGATGAACAAGCAGAGGACAGACGCTGGCATCAGAGAATTTCATCCGTTATACTTCTTCTCGTGTGTTTCCGCCAGAATATCGTCTCCAGAGATGTAGAGCTCATAGCGTAAAACCTATTGCTTCATAAAGCTTAAAATCGTCTAGTCTTTCACCTATTGAGCACTCAAACATGATTACATAGGTTCTAAGAAATTATCCGGTACGACTCTTTGTGATCGTGATGACACCGGAGACGGATAACTCGTCCCGGTGAACATCCAGTCTGTATTTGTGACAAAGCAACACCCAAAAGAACGCGAGACGCCGGAAATTCAACCTATTAACTGGCTTCAGTGAGAATGAAATAAAACAAGATCAAGCAAATGTGGGCATATAAAGACAAGGAGACGTGCCAAAATAAGCGACCTATAGCATCATTTAGAAAGAATCTCCATTGACCTAGTCGCATTAAAACCGTGTAGGACCTCTATAAACGGCCGAAAAAATTGCCGATAAGATGGTTTTCAAAGGGCTTGAAAAATCAAACCTGAAAATTCCTCATGAATGTCACCCAGAACAGTATCGAATATTACATTGTTCTATAACACTGACGTTGGAATGTGTCATTCGTGCACAAAATTATGTTCACTAAACCTAAGAAATCTGTCACATTCGCGGTGGAACTCAGGTCAATTCCAGGTTGTCCAAATCATCAGACATAGGACGATAGAATTCGGTGTTTAATTCTTTTCAAGAACGATAAAACTGCATGAATGTACGAAATGGCGGAAAACTGATTTGTTTTATGATCCCTAATGCCTTACGCTGATCAAGTAGCAAAACTTTGCGGATCTTTCCTAATGCAGTCGTTTCACACATAGACACCTACTGAGAAGACATTTATCATAAGAGCTGTACGCTGTGTGGTGACGAGTCGATAACGTGAATTTGTCCGATATTTGGCTTCGATTGTGTTATCAAAACAGCCTTTCAACACTCGGAAGTGAGATATGAACGAATAGGTACAATAATAACGCTCTGTCGCTTGGTCAGTACTGGATCACTGTCCTCGAAACTTATTTACTCGTGAAACAGCAGGACTGAGCACTGAAACTGTCTGGTAAACCACCACACGTCCACGGTACGTCTCACATTGCTGAAATCGACAAGTAGCCTATAACACCTTCACTTCAGTTGGACTCCAAGTTTGAAGACGTCCACCATAAAAGTCGAACGCTATACGGGTAACGACTTGATAACGTCCTGTGAGTTAGTAATGGACAGACGAGATTCATATAGGTTCGCCGTAAAGCAAGCCGGTGAGTTTTAGCCCTCGAATAGGCATATGACTGACGATCGTGCACTTCGAGTTTCCACAGTCCCTGATGGGACTCGGTGGATATGTATCACAGATAATTTTTAACGTGAGTAGAGAAAGTCAAACGGTCATCATGGTGGGATTTAAACCCTTCTGTCTCGGGTTATGATCCTGCTTCCACCGCCGGTCACTATTGTCAATTGGACTCGACCCCTTTCTGAAATATTGTACCAGTATTACGAAAGAGAAAAAAGGAGGTAAGAGAACAGACTATAAAACAAAAGAAAACAAGCACGAAACAGCTGCCGAATGCTTTCATGGTTTCAAATTGTAAGCTGATGATTCATTACATAATATCAGATATGTGCAAAAACAGCATAAGCTGAATCCACCCCGAGGTCCTTTTTCTAGGTACAATCAGTAAGTTTTCATCGTAGACATGCAGAGGTTCATCAAATGTCGGGATGCGCATGGACACACTCTGCATTACACTTACTTTTTTGACAAGCTGATTAGAAAGAGAAGGACGGCATTATCAATCATGGCGCTTACCTGGAATTCGATCTTCGCCTCGTCATCTTGCGGTTCGTACACAACCGCGTCCAGTTCCAAATCGGACGGCTCAACACGCGAGGGCGAATAACAGGCGGAATCGTACGACTCCTCCTCCATTCGAGAAGCAGCTTCCAATTGTGCGGCTCGAGCCGCTCGTATGGCCTCCACGCTGTGAGGATCAGTCAATGCCAGGGTGTCTTCGGGTTCCTACAACAGAGTGCAAAAAATGACATGAACACGTAAATCGGAAGACGTGGATCGATGAAGACGCTCTGTGTAATGTAGTTACAATGCGCGCAGACGTTTCAAGTAGGGGAAAATTCAAACTTTACTACTGTGTCAAGCTATCATTTGACAGATCTGACGAAGCAGCTGCATTGTGGTTTCTCAGAGCTATTTAATGCTAACACTCCAAAAGAGAATTGGCTTAGACTAATGCCTACCACTGAAAACGTCAGGAACACGGTTTTGCTAGTGTGAGGAACCATCGCCTGGGAGTAAGCATCATAAAATCATTGCGAGACAATATGAAAAGTTCCATAATCTATTAGAACGGTAAGAAGAAATTGAATGAATGTCTTTTTTCAGTTCGTTCGATAAAAGCATCATGTCAGAAGCTACCATAATGATTTAGGAGCAGGTTCCATGAGATAAAACAACCAAATAATCACACAGTCCATGTCAGCCAATCAAATGAGGATTAGACTTCTACCAGATTGTCAGTTTGAATCACCAGTGGTTTCCTTTTGTCACTACAGGGAAACAACTTTTTCCACCGAGGTTACACTGTAGTGAAGTCAATTATTCGGACCTGGTACGATGGCTGATCGAAACGAATAAAAAAACATGACTGATGCAGGAATTGGTGAGCGGTACAAAAAAGGAACCGAATAATGAGGCTAATACATCAACCTCATCGGATGAATTATGGTTAATTTTGAATCAGAAGTTGCAGTGACATAAACCTCCATACAATCTGAGGTACGAGGTTCAATGACCCGATTTGTTATCACGATTGGGCTGTTGAAACCCTATGTAGTTCTCCATTCCACAAGTCTCAGACTCATGGTTGCCACTTCTTTTTAGCAATCAATGAGGGGCCTTTAAAGCCATCTGACACATGCAACTTGAACCTCACTCATACGCAAGTAAGAGGAAAGAATAAATAAATAAAAATTGACACTATGGTTAGAACTGGAGATAGGCAAAACGATTGGTTTCGTGTAAACAGTGAAGTAGACTTCGAACTTACTACTACTTCTGGTTCCTCTAACACATCTAGCCGCTTGCCAGGTATTTTGAGAGGTGGAGGCATCAGGGCGGCACTGTCTTGTGATGTGGATGGTTCTCCAGTCGTCTGAGGCTCGGCCGGTTTGGGAACACTATCAGTTCCACTGGGGAATAGGGGTTCGGCTATAATGCCTTGAGACTGGCGCAAAAATTCCAGTTTACGACGTAAGTTTTCTTGGTGCATATCACGTAGACGAGTGCGAGCCATCTGAGCGCGCACAAACTGTGCTAAGGTCTCCCAGTAGGTCACATCAACGCCTTCACCTCCGCGAAGTTTAGGCTCAATCTGTAAGACGGAGAAAGGAGGTAAACGAAACAAAGAGAAGTAGAACATTAGCTTACTTCTGGACGAACAGATCCGAGGTCACATGCCTTTAGATTTAATTGAATTAACTGCATTTGATGTCAACAACTATACTGTTTCGCAATTTTTTACTGGGATCAAGGAAGGAACCGTTCACAATTTTGACGATGAAATTAATATACACCTATCGGACACCGTTTGAAGGTAACTACTAACTTCCACACTGTCGAGTAAGATAAAGCCTGCACGATATATTCTACGTTCCGAGTAGTAAGCAGTAGACTGAAAAACCTCGCAGTATTTATGCACTCTCTGACTGGCGAGTGGCAGAATATAACAAATTTTCATTCTAGTTCCACGTTCATTCCTTGATACGTTTCGGGTTGAATCAGACTGGAAACTGATTATTTTCACTTGTCTGAGTACCTGACAAACACTTCAGCTCCCCATTTTTAAGTCCTTGTAAGTTGCAAATTTCAAACACTGGGCTGATGTAAACCCTCAAACACACATGCATTATTAGCATGTAACTTCTGATTTAGTCGCTCCTGGATAACGGACAGCTGACCATCGCCAGATGTATTTCCGAGATGGTTTCAAACTGAACTTAATGAGGCCTTACACGGTTCTAAACGCAGAATTCCAGGGTCATGGTTTCCAATGAACTCCGATAACACGATGAGTCTTTCGGTTTACAGCTCAGCTCCATCCACCACACTTATGCTTGAGTAATAAGGGTACGTGGGCACATACACAAATATGTCTCATGATGTATCTTTCATCGAAATCTAATGGGAGGAAATAAGTAAGGCTCTTCACAGGAAGGATGCTAGAGGTTTCTGGGTGAAGTATATTTTGCGGCTGACCACACCGCAAAAGAGATTATTTTTTTAGGAACCCTAACCGGGACCTTCGACTCAACAGTCTGATCCAAAAGGCAATGGGGCATTAACTCAGTACGAGAACGTAACCAAAGTGTTTGTGCAGGAACTTTCAATAGCCACTCAGGTGAGACCTAGTTGTCCGTTTTCTGTTGTCTTCACTGGTGTTTTAATTACTGATCCGCTTTTCGGATTCAGTCTTTAACCCATGCCCCAATGGGCAAGTGTAACGTGAGCGGGGCAGCAATTTAGCGCTGGATGCAACCAAGCTTCAGTGGACAGTATCTGCCTAATGAAAGGCGGTGACTTTTTCCACCGTTTCGACAGATCCCAGCTACTCCATCCCTACGCCCTACGTCTACCGGAAGCCTTTGACTGGTCGAATGCTTCCCTTCGCGTTTAACTGCCGGAGTGTTCTCTTCAGGGGCTGACCCTATAGAAGTAGATGTGGTCCAGCAAACGGACTCAGTGGCACTAGGCTTTGTTTGGCATCCCTTCACTGACCTGTCAAGAATAATTGAATCTCCGGTTTAAAAAGGCCGTCCTGAATGGCCGTCTGGGTCATAAAGGTGGGCAAGCCATCACACCACGTCAAGGCGCAGACTCGCCGTGATGAGGGGGCATATTGCGACGACAGTGCACATTAGCGTGGTGTCTTGCATGCCTTCATGAACCAAAAAGCTACGCAAGATGGCTTTCATAAACCGAAGATTCAATCACGCCTGACATGTCAATGGGTAGAGACCAGACGAAGTCCAGTCTCTGAATCAGGTCCTGGAGAACACTTGTTTCTAACCCCTATGCCCCAGGAGAGGACATTTCAGAAAATAAAAAGCGAGAGAAGCAGTTTGTCGGTTAAAAAATCTCCACTAGATGGGCATAGAAGTGGAGTGCCTGGAGTTCCCCTTTATAGTGGGAGGTCATCACACTTCGTTTGCAGCCCCCGGCCCAAATGATACTGCCTCGTCCACGCTCCGCTTGCTTCTACTGGATGCATGAGGCTAAGGACTGGATCTGAAACGCGGATCGGTAATAAAGCATCAGCGAAGACAAGTCAAGATTGGATAAACAATCAGATCTCACGCGACAAACCAAAAGAATTTCTTGTACGGATGCTTCAACCAAGTTCCGTTCTGAGTAAACGCCCGACCGCTCTGTGGGTCAAATTTTTTAGTCAAAGGTTCAGGTTAGGGTTCCCAAAGAAGAACCTCTTTCAGCTGAGGGGACAGTCACGAAGTATGATTCGACCAGAAACCTCTACTATCCTTCACGTAGAGGGCCTTTGATTTAAGATCGGTGCAAGACGTCAAGGGTTATTGCGGCTCTAAAGTAAGCAACAGTTTAGGAGCTGGGAATGAATCAAATGCATTTCTTGCGCCCACATGTTTGCTTCACTTGGCTGCCTTTAACGTCCGCAAACTATCAGATAGGGCAACAAGCTGCCCTCGGCAGAATTCTTGAAACTTTCAAAATAGATGTATGCTGTGTGTTCGAAACATGCATACACGACACTTTTTCCGTGATCACTCTTCGCACTCAAGATACAGGCTGAGTTTCTCACTTTACTTTTTGCATATCGGGTGACCCGGTGTCCAGTGCTTGCGGTCTGGCTGGTGTTGGGATTGCTTTTAGCATGAGAGCTGAGCGTACATTGCAAGACAGAATTCTAGTCAGCTGTCATTTGTGTGTAGTTAGGTTGGACGGTTCTGTGCGTGACAAAAGCAACAGGCTGAAGTGTTGATGCTTGTTGTGTTTGTATATGCACCCGCTGACTACAGTTTGAACAGTTGGGTGGAGCATTTTAATGAATAGTTCAGTTGGCCCACTCCTACGGTGCGAAAAACGATGCATGTAGATATCACCCCTCCATCAGAAATGGAGGCTATTCGGGAGACAGATAACTTATAAAGGTACAAACCCGCTGGAACAGAGGGGCTGTCTTCGTCTCTTTTTGAGAGTTTCGGAGTTAACAAGACTCCTCTGGGTTTTCTGAATTAGTGAACACATTACCAGGGGCTGGTGTGAATAAGTGATTGTGTCGATTTACAAGGTGACAGGTCCACTTGTGAAAATCACAGGGGAATTAGCATGGTAGGTATCGCATCCAAACTGTTCACCGGGATTATTCTCCACCGATTATCCAACACCCGTGAACACTGTACGAGTGAGAACCAAGTCGGCTTCAGACCCGGAGAGGCTTGTATCGACCACATCTTTACTCTTCGTCAAATTTTAGGGCACAGATGCACCTTCTACAGGCCCACGACCTCTGTTTTTCTTGATCTGGAAGCGGCATTCGACTCAGTCGACCACACAGTTCTCTGGCGCCGCCTCTTGTTGAAGGGTGTGCCAAAGAAGTTATTGTCTCTTTTCCAATGCCTGTATACGAACAGCCGAAACTGAGTTCATACCTACGGTGATTTTTCATCCGACTTCACCACTAGAAGTGGTGTACGTCAGGGTTACCCTCTGTCGTCTTTTCTCGTCAATTTTGTAACTGAAATGGCTCTTGAGACAGCTCTATCCTCATGTGACAATAGCAGCGCCGACCTGCGTTCAGCCAATATACCGTATGAATTAGAATGCGCGACGGCATTGCTCTTCTAAGTGGAGATACAGGTAAAGGGAAAGCTCTTCTAGGTAGCTTAAACAAGAGTGTAGCAGTGATTGGGATACGTTTTGCACCTTCAGAGTATAAAATGCTGCTGCAGGAGTGCATTGGCTTCAGGAAAAATTCCGATTTGGTAGAGGAAGCCCTACCTAAAGTAGATAAGTTTTGTTATCTACGCAGTTACATCTCATCAGATAGTCAGATACTGGATGTCATTGTGTACAGTCTGTCCAAAGACTTCGGGATCACCTCAATTCGGTCGAAATGCTGACGTTTGGTCGAATTCCAGCTTATATAACTGGTACTACTTTCTCTCGTTAAACAATAGTTTTTATCGTAGTTTTTGGTTACTCAGATTAGTATCAGTTGTATAAAATGAAACTCGATCGTATGCCAGGACTCTGACCGAACTGAGGTGATCGCGATTTTTTTGGACAGAATGTACACAGAAGGGTTTTTGACTTTTGCCAACCTCAGCTATCCGTGGCACCGTCGTGACATCCGGTTGTTTATAAGTGGCTGAGTGTACACCGCAGGGATTATATCCGTTTTTTACACGGCTCAAAAACATGACCGTTAAGGATAGAAGATAGGTGAAGACTGTCGATGTCTGAGCATCGATGTCTCCGTAGTATTGCTCGACAATGATGAGAAAACCATATCAGTAATTTTGAGGTCAGGCGTACGGTGTTAGAAACTGGTGGTCAGTCGCCGGAACAAGTACTGAATTAATACAGGTTAAGGTGACTGGGATATGCGTTACGCATGCCCACTGAGAGACTTCCTCGACGTACACTGTTCTCTGAAACGGGTGGTTGGAAGACAGGTCGAGGTGGTCAGTCAAAATGGTAAGAAAACCTTGACCAAATGGAACGTGTCAGACTTGCAGCCTGGAGTCCGCAGGACATGCCTATCAGAAGGCTAGGTGTCGCGACCAGTGGCGTGGCTGTATTCGGCCTCTTTCTTTGTTATCATGAACTCCGATTATTACTCTGTTTTCGCTTTTTCCATTTTATGCTTCTGTTCATTCTGCCTTCAACTGAACGATACTGCGAGGCAACAACCAAAATCAGAGCACAAGAGTGTGAAGTTAATGGATGAATGAACTGAAGTGGACCGGGAAAACACAAGTGAACAACGCGACTCATTGACTGAACAAAGGCAACATTTCTCAGCCAATTGGATGGAGTATTTCGAACAGCATTACGATCCACTCAGCTGAACCACAAATTAAAACCGCATATGGACACAACAGTGAGTCCAGTCGCTATTATACCAAATTTTACCATCCAACGTTTCTGGGTTCGTCCGAAATTGAAGGAAAACAGAGCGATTCCAATAAACATTCGTGCAGTATATTCCATTATTCTCGGACTCCGGGAAAAGCGTACCGAAAGGGAAGTGACGAAGTTGTTTCTAAGATTTAAAAACAGTCTCACTTCTTTAGATTTATTGCGAAATTGTAAGAACTAAGGTTTGTGGTAAACCAT